GCGGCTAAGTTATAGTTTTAAACAGCCTTCTTCATATCCTTACATCTAATGGAACATAAACTAATGTAATACATTAAAGCTTTGTGTGTTTAATCTCTAAGTCTTCTTATAAGGATTTCGTTGTGTAATATTGGCTTGAACCTTGGGTAAAACTGTTGGTTTGTTTTTTACTTTCTTTTTTTATTTTATTGTTTATTCATAGGTATTATTGTGCAGAAAGGAATAAAGAAAGAAAGAAAGAAAGAAAGAAAGAAAGAAAGAAAGCAAGAAAGAAAGAAAGAAAGAAATAAAAAGAAAGAAAAAAATTTTTTTCCTTTTAACTTTAAACATAAACGTGTGAAATCTTCTCAGCAGAAGGGAAATAGGATACTTCTTCAATAATATTAATGTTTTTGTTAACAGCATTTTGGGGTAGGTATGTAGGATCTGGATGAAATGTTTTATAGCCCAATTAGCACATTTGTAGTCCCTGCTCTGGTTGCTAGGAGACCACAGAATGATGAACAACTGCTCTGACTTTGCATGACTTTACCCTTTAAATACGTCTATATCGAAGTTATTTGCAATACAGACTGTCCATTGAATTTGTCAACATTTAACGTAAACAATGCCCTCTGATTTTGCATAATGCCATCTGAGATTTAAAAAAATACTTATAGTGTTATGCGACCTCCACTGAGTGCAAACTACATTATGTTACTTTTTATTGACAGTATAAGTAAGGCAGCCATGAAGGTCAATTGGTTAAATTTGAGAGCAGTAGCCTATACCAGAGTAGGCACTGCATGACAGAGGGCTAAGTGGCAAAGGCGTGTAGAGTCTATTCAGTAGAATGTAACATTACACATCATAATAGAAACTGACAAAATCATTTACAGGGAGGAGAGAAAAATCGCAACATGCAGTGTGCACTAGTGCAATTATTACATGTGATATGGAAGTGAAATAATTTCATCTGGCAGCATAGCTTAGCCTTTGTTCACCTGGAGACAATACCCTGCCTGGATTCATCTAGATTTATCGTTACTCTCATCTAAAATGAACATTTATAATAAAATATTTTCAAGAGGATTTAGCAGACTTAAAGCAACATACAGTTCATAAGAATTGTTACTTCTTATATACATTGAGAGATGCACAGTCCAAATCCTACTAAGTCCATGCAGAAGATGAAAAAGAAGTTGAACAAAGTTAGTAAACAGGTTGTTATACTTTTCAATACTTGAAACTGCTGAACCTTGTTTTGCTTTTGTTTTTTCCACACAACTTGTTGTTGGGGATGAGAAAAGACAAAATACACAATCCTGTCATTGTATAGATCACAACATTATTCAGTTAGGCTCTAACCAAAAATTAGACAATTTTTGTTAAAAGAATGACATTTTGGGTGTAAGATTTTAAATATATATTTATTTATGTTTTGAATTTGGATTCAGAGCACAGTTTGACAACCCTTTTTCAACAGTTTGTTGTTTCTAAATGCTATTGCACTCTCTTGTTCAGGTTGTTCCCTGGTACAGAAATTTGACAGTTTGGAACACTGAAGAACATCTAACTTAAACCAAATCTAATCATTCGGATTTTGAAAGTTTTTTTTAAGTTTGCTGGAATTTTGGCCCATTTCTCCTGACAGGCCTTGGACGTCACTAGTTAGACTAATACATTGTTAGCAAAAACATTTTCAGCTCTGCCAACTGAATTATCCATTGGATTATTTTTGTGGTTTTATTATGGATGCTACAAAAGTTTGACATGCCCTAGAACTGCTATATAACTATAAAGGAACAAGAGAGTCAATGAAAAAGAAAAGCAGCCATTTTAAATGTAACATTTAAATCATACATTTAGAAATCCATTTTGAAAAGAGTTTTATTAATGTGCAGTTTAAACTGAATAAATATAGAGGCATTGTCAATAGTATTTGTTTATCCATTATTAAAACTGCCATTTGAAATTGAATATTTAAATCCTATCTTTAACAGTGGTGTCAAAAGTAAACACATTTGCTACCTAAGTAGAAGTATAGATATTGCAGTTTAAAAACACACTAGTAAAAGTTGAAGTATCGGTAACGTACCTCTTAACTCAAGTAAAAGTAAAAAAGTAAGAGCTCCAAAGACTACTTAAAGTATAAAAGTATAAAGTAACCTTTAAAAATAACAGCCAGATGCCACTATATGAAATGGAAGCTACATATTTGGACTATTTCGAAAAATTCACAGAGGGAGGTGTTGTTGGCCTCCGTCTCCATTTCTGGCCTGTGTCCGACCACATTTTAACATCTTTTTTAACATCTTTTTAAACATCTTTTTCTGAATCCAACATTGTAGCATGGCATAGACAATTCGTGTTTGCAATTTAAAGAACACCTGCTTGCTTCTGATGATTCCCTTTTGCGTCAGCACAAATTTGACGAATAGCTAACCAATGAGTGTTTGTGTTATATGACTCATCCACTTACACTAGTTTTCACTAGATGTGGATGGCGCCAATGATCTGAATTGGATGGCGCACATGAAGTGAAAAAAATATTTATGAACATTAAACCGAAGCTAAGAGTAACGAGTAATGTTTGTTTTAAAAATGTAAGGAACAGAAAGTACAGATACTTTTGTGAAAATGTAATGAGTAGAAGTCAGAAGTAGGAAGAAAAATAAGTAATAGAGTAAAGTATAGATACCTACAAAGTGTACTTAAGTACAGTAACAAAGTTTTTGTACTTCGTTACTTGACACCTCTTGTTTATATGTCACAAAGGGGAAGTTTTCAACAACACATACAAATTAAATGAAGAAATATAGATTATGTGTGGAAACGTCTTTAACAATACCCTAAGCAGGGTGTTTAAGGTATTCATACAAATGTAAATCAAATTTAAAACAGTATGAATTCACACTGTAGCCTAAAAGGTCCTCCTGTGCACTTTCCCAACTTTTTAAAAATGCATAAAATATTTAAAAGAAATAATCTCTCTAACAAATAGTATAGACCTGATTGATCAAAAGTAAGTGTATTCTGATTTTTTTTTTTTTAGACAATAAAGGGAACATTACATCTATAGAGTAGTAGTTCTTAAACTTGCTCCTCAAGTAGCGCTGCTCTGCATGGTTTAGATTTCTCTCTGTTGCACACCAGATTCAAATAATTTTAGGAACTCCTAAGCAACCTTCAAGGCGCTGCAGGAGCCTGTTTATTATTCATCTATATAAGTCAGGTGTGTGGCAGCGAAGAGAAATCTAAAACATAGATTTAAAAGGATTGAGGAGCATTCTTCTAGAGTGTATTACGTGGCTTTAGCAGTAAATGTTGGAATGCAAAGTAATTCTACATGATTGTTGGTTTCCCTGTTTACTTTCTTCAAACTTGCTCAATTTATTTTATTTTGCTTGATACATGCAAACCTGGCTGATGTGTACAAAGACTTATTAGACTTTCAAAAAAAAAGTACTGTGAGTTTGTTGAACTTGAAGTTATTTTTTAGGCATAATATCTTTCCAAAGATTTGGTGAAACACAGCTTGTTTAAATAATAAAGCTAACAAATCTCTGTGCATGTGCCCCATCTGTGACGGAACAGGCAGCATAACATATACAGATTCTTCTGACTGATCAAATTATAGTTCATAATTCTTAACACAAAAAAAAAATAGCTTGTCAAACCCTTCCTAAAAATAAATGAAAAATATTCAGTGGCATTACACCATGCCTACCTCTCTTTTATTTCCTGGACAGATTTTTCTAATATTCCCACTGATGTTTCACAAGTTATCCTAAACAGAGTGTTAATAAAATGTCTCCCTGCCATTGCCTTAATCTATAGGTCCCTTCATAGATTTTGTAGGAAGTTCAAGTGAGGACAGTGGATTGGTTGCTCAAAAAGATTAATGTTACTAACAAGTAAAGAAATGTGTTGGACAAATTAAAATTTTACATGAATTTTAAACCTGCAAGGGGAATAATTAATTTTGGATATGACTATATAACCTCGAGTGCAACAAATTCCAACACAGCTCAACATTTTTGGAATATCATTCCATGCATTCATTTCATGTGTTCATGGAGCAGCTGATTCATGCCCTACAAAGAGCTTTGACTCAGAATCACTGAAACACATTTTTGTATGTAACCCAAGATGCCCTTCGTCTGAAGTACTAACTTTAGCCTTGCTTGGTGAGTTATTTTGATATTTCTTCTTGTTCAGGTGGAGAACTAGAAGAATTATTTAAAAAAACTAAACACCGCTGACAGCACAATATTATGTTGTGAAATTATATACAAATATGGAAGAATATTTCAGATGTATTGCATTTCTAGGAGGCCTACACAAAAGTTAAAGTAAACTTTCACCAAATGTTTTCAATTAGCTGTCTACCACATTGTGTTATCACTTATAATAAAATATGTTAGTTTGTTTTAGAAAATGAATTCTTGTTGCCCATCGGGCGCTCCAGTGCTGAGAATTATATTTTCCTCTCATTGGATTTCAAAATTTTCAACTTTTACACAAATATTCCAGTTAAACCTCCATTTATGCTGCCACAATGATTATCCCCCCTCTTTTATAGAAACCTAAAGAATAAGCAAAGTGCAGAAACATGCTCTTTCTAAACACAATATTTGATATAAAAATATTGAGTCGTGTGTAAACTTAAACTTAAAAGAAATAACCCATAATAAACCCACAGATTAATCTACATACAGTTGATCCTGGATAAAAACATAACTGCATTTAAAGTAAATAAGCAAAAGTAACATCTGTTATTGGATAATATATATTTAAGAAAATCACTTGGTAGTTATAAAAAGCTACCATGCAGTGCCATGACAACACTTATAACACTTATAATATAATATATGAGAACAATCAGTGGGGCTTAACATCAGCCCCACTGATTCTACTTGGTAGTAGAAGCTTATATGAAATAATCTAGGCAGCCAACAGTAGTATGACGAAGGCGCTAGAGTGTAATAGGCCCCATAAACCTGCTGAGGTTGAACATACCATGTGGTTGGTCCTGATGAGAGTGTGCGCTGCCTGTCGACAAAAGAGGGGAAGGAGAGGAAAGATGAGCTCCGTGCGTCAGGACGCACAAGGAACAGCATATGGCCTCTGATCTAGCCCGATCTAAACGGGTGATCTCAAACCGTTGCGCTGCGCAAAGGTGAACAGTGGACAGATTGGGGGAAAATGCGAGGAGAAAGGCGCATCAGACACTCCAGAGTCTGATCTGCGCGTGCATGCAGACGTTTATGCGAGGGTGGCACGATTGTTCACACCCACACCTTGTCACCAGTGGCGGACGGACTGAACTGTACTTCTGTACAGTTTATTTTCCTCGCAGTTTACCCATTTCGGGCTTTGCCAGCATCGTTGCCACTCGCAGGTCGTCATCGCATCTACCAGGACGATGGTGTCGTCGTTATTTATTTTGATGCCCAGACGGGCTTATTTGCGTTGCTTCTGTCCATAAGGATTTTCCTTCACCGTACTTATACTTTTTAAATCAGATTTTTTTATTATAATTATTATTATTTCGCGTTTTTATTCCCCGGTTTGTCTTTAAGATAGCAGCCTATTAATATTTAATTCTTATGCATCCGCATGAAGACGGCACCAAAGAGGAGCAAACGAGCGATAACCGAGAGGGAGAGGGAGGCAGCTGAGGAGGCAAAGCAGAATGAATGAGACACTCTGAGCATCCAAGGAGAAGGAGATTGGAGACATTGAGGTAAGACCAAAAGGCTTTCTTTTTCTTTTTCTTTTTCTTAAATATAGCTATTATTAATACATGTTATACCAGTGCACAATAAGTCAATGAATTGTGGAGCAGCCGGGGGTCCCTGATAAGCCCCCCCAAGGTCTCCAAAATGATCACTGTTTTTTTTAATTATTATTTTTAGTTTGACAGTCACTGAGTTATTTATGAATGCTGAACCCTAAAAAGGGAATCGTGTGGGACAACTCAATGCACCACCAAGCTGCACTAAACTGATTTTGATAAATTAACTTCATAAGAGATTCAAAAGGACAGTTTGCTTCCCTGCAAACGCTTCAGTGAGGCATTTCCATCTGAACCAAACACTGATTTGGGTGGATAATGTTTATTTCTACAACGTTCAAGTGAGAGCTAGAAGAAAAGTTAGATCACCGGATGCTGTAAAGCTCAGTTTTAATAAGCAATATACTATTTTTTCTTCACTTATTTTCATTAGAGTGCAAAATGATGCATCTCATTGAGCATTAGGGGAATAAACTCATCATAGCTATGTGTGAACTGCTCTGTTCAATCCCACACCAATAATCCAGAATGTCTTCAAATCATTACCTATTGGCTCCCTTTAGAGAGCTCACCTCTGTGTAAGGTGCCTCAGTGGTATTTGAAGACAGCAGTCAAATTAAAATCCAGATTAAAGAATGTTTCCCCAAAATGGGATAATGATGGCTTCATGTCAGCATCCAATACAAAATCCATGCTTGAACCCCATTATAATATCCAATTTTAATAAAATCTGACCTCATAATGTTTTTGGGTTCATGTCTTGAAAACTGAGGCAGCATTATAATATTACCATGCTGAGCTGATTCCCAATTTAATAATAAGGCATGTAATAAAAGGACATCTGCAACATATACTGTAGTGATAATGAAATTAAACATTTGTCTTTTTGAGGCATCACGATAAAATTGAACTTGAGGACTCGTGCTAGACAGACCCCAAAAGCAGTTATTTCCAGCGTATAAGCCTTTTCCTCATTTCACCAGGGTGCATTGTGTTTGTCCTGCCAATTTCTGGAAAAATTGGCAAGTCCACTATTCTGAGGGGGCTGAATGAAATTCAAATTCTTCAGGTGGTAAAACAGCAATATTGCAACTGTCTGATTGCGTTATCTGGGCATTCAAGAAGGCAGGCTTGGAATTGGTTTACTGCCAAACACTCTCCCCAGGAAGACAGAAGGATTTATTTCCCCCTTGTCTGTGTGTCACATCCCCATCAGAGAAATTATTCTCGGCTTTCTGTTGCTGCATAATAATCATACATTAACATTTCATTACTGGTCATCACCGATTTTATAGGTCACTAAAAGTAAGTTAATATATTTAGGGGTGGGTTTTCAGACAGTGTTGTTTTACTTTCTGAATTTGACAAAAACACTGCTTTTAGAGCCTTTTAGATTATCTTTGCACACAAATTAATATTACTCAAATTATTTTACTATTTACATTAAGAAATACTAGCTTAATGTACATTCAAATTAATATATGCAACTGTATGTACATACATGTATATTAAAGATGCAAAAATAATCATTTTATGAATTTTTATGAATATTAACACTTTTGAATTTCTCTCGGCATTTTTGTTGCAAATTCTGCAATATTTATGTACTCCCTAAAGCTCTTCCTCAATGCAGAATAACTGAATATATCAAAGGAAAATATGCAGAAAGACAAAGCATTGATGTGAGTTTTAGAAATTATCTTATGATGTTTTACAGTCTTTTGGAAACTACATTGCTTCCATACTTTTTAATACAAAAAAGTGAAGTGAAGTTCTTTATACAACTAGGATATGTAGTTTACTGAATGCCAAAAGCGATCGGCTTCCTTTAAAAAAGTTTCTTATATAAATAAAAAACTGATTTGCTTTTGTAACAGCATGCTGCAAAGGTTAGGTAGGCATATTGAAAATAACCCATTTTAATTTGACTTCGAACTGTACATGAATTTAAGTTTTTCTAAAATGTATTGGTTAATTCTTATAATGGAGCGGTTCCGCTTTGATTGATCCTCACAATGTTAGAGATGTGAATATGGTGCGACAGAATTCAAATAAAAGAAGTTTCAAAAAAGTGTTGTTTGGTAAAATATGTAAAAATGAATTCAGCCAATAAAAATGGAAGAGCAAAAATAAAACAAATATAAATGCTCAACATTTCACAAACTTAACATAAATTTTAGTGTATAGTAGTTTCAATATAGAAACAAATGAAACATTGTAACATTTGTTATTTACTTATAATGAATTAAGTGATCTCCAGCTTTTAATGTTTGTAAGGAGAAGTTACCTTGAATACTTTGTTGATTTCCACTATGGACTAAATAGAGAAAATATTGTGTCAGAGGTAAAGCAAAGTTTTTTTTACAGTAATCCCCATATTTTTGATTTCCTAAAATCAGATATCTTTTTCCAACATTAAGAAGTTGAAAAATAAAATCTAATCCAAACTCCCAGTGTTACATTCCAGTCTGCCAATCCTTATTTGTTTAGGATGTCGTGCAAATGGTCTATAGAGATTTGTTGTATTACCGGTATTTGAGTATTTGTAACTGTAATAAATGGACAACAAACCTTTGCAAGATTGAATTGTGCCCCGATGTGAATTTTTGACCTTTCCTCAAAATCAAATTTCCGTTTAGCACACAAAACCTCTCAAACGACTTTTATGGTATCATTGCAGTCTGTGAAAAAAAGAATGAAAGAAAGAAAGTGATTATAGAGGCTGCTTCAGCCTGTTCCATCTTATTTGGGTGGAGTTATGCAGTGAAAAATTGTGGCGGTGGTTGGTTGCATGACTATTTTTGCAGTGTCCCATGAGGTAGTGTGTACCTGCGTATCTCTTGTGCACGGGCAAAGAGAGGTCTTTTGTGCTCTTTTTTTCTAATGTCAAAATGCTCTGTCTCTGTCGGGCCTTTTTTCCTTTGAGCGACCTAGCAGCATTTTATTGTGTTGTGGCTCAGCTGTACTCCAATCCCTCTGTTTGAAGGAAACGCTGTCTACCTGGAAGTGGCATTTCTGGAGTTGTCACCACCCTGATAAGACTTGTCGTTACAGTAAAGCCATTAAAATTATAATGACAGTTATTGTGATTCACTGTTTTACCACTGCCAACAAAGAAACGCTGGAAATGTTTCTTTAACGGTGGCTGATGGACTCATTTTTGTAATCACAAATACCCCCTTAATTTGTACTAGGACTATTTTTTTTTTTTTAAACATATTTTATTATTAAGTTTCTAGATTACATTTTAGCTGCATAAACATGAAATAATAACAGAATAGAAAGATGAAAACAAGGGGAATGAAGACTAGGAAGTGCATTATCAGAAATGGAAGATATATTATAGCTCTTGGATGAGAGCCCCTTTTCTGTGGCAATGAGGCGGAAAAGCAAGGAGTAAAATGTGTCTATTTTGAAGCTCATTGCCCTTCTATTGTGGGTTTATCTATGAATCTGGCCATGCACTTGTGCAACAGCACATAGCTGCAGCCCTACCAGCTCTGCTGTCTCTGTTACTCTTGGAGAAAGTCTGAAGGTGTGGGTTTTGAGAAGCCCTTCTTACAGGAACCCTACCACACACTAATCCAATTCAGTGCTGCCAACCTTGAGCGTGTGTAGGCGCCGGGATGGCGAAAAACGAACAGGGGCAACGAGAGCACATGGATGGGAAGAAATCGATGAGGACTCTTTTTCATAAATGGAGTGGGTGTTAAATTAGCTGGATTGGCCCATGTAGCAACACACTGGATTGAGTGCTGGGTGTATTTTGGTTGTGTCTATTGACTGAAAGACAGCTCGGCATACAGCAGAGAAAAGACGTACTGATGCACAATCAATGTGTCCAATCAGCCTTAACACTGTTTCATTCACTTTTGTACAGATTTTTTTAGATGGGAAGGAGATACTAAGCTAGAAGATGTGTTTCAGCAGTTTCAACACCCAATTCAAAGAAGTCTGTCTTTCTTTCATTCATAGATTTTCTCTATTTTTTTTCTTTATATTTACCACCAAACCTCCTAGCTACCTGACATACCTACCTAAAATAGTTTGCTTTGATAACGTTTTGGGTTACTAAACCAAACTATGTAAAGCTAAACTGTAGGAACCTAGATTAAATGAGGGTCACTTATTACCAGAGGTGTCAAGTAACAAAGTACAAATACTTTTTTACCTTACTGAAGTAGAAATTTTGGCAATCTATACTTTATTGGAGTAATTATATGTTATACAACATTTTACTTCTACTATTTTTTTTTGTGCAATTATCTCTACTTTCTACTCCTTGCATTTGTGTGCATATAAAAATAAACACGTTAGTTTTATTTCATTTAAGCTCATTTTCTTTATAGACTATTAGTATTAAAATGAATAAAAACCATCAAAATAATTATTTTTGCCCAGACATTTAATTTCTTTGTGGTTGGACTAAGTACTGCACCAAATTGTTGTTTGAAACATAACAAGATGAATATTTTTTCAAGGTGATGCACAGTTAAATTTGACTCTGTAACCATCAGTTATAAGACTGAGAAGCTTAAGTATAAGGAAGTTATCACCCGGAATTGTAGAAAATGTTCTCTTAATAGACTAGTTCAGTAAAGCATCTGCCTGTAATATTTTTTGCATTACTTTTACTTTTATAGTTTAAGTAGTTTTAGAAATGGTACTTTTACACTTTTACTTGAGTAAAAAGCTGAAGTTGATACTCTAACTTCTACAAAAGAGTTGTTAAACCATAAGATTTATACTTCTACTTGAGTAATAAAGGTTAATACTTTTGAAACCTCTGCCCATTACTTTTTGTATTGCGTCACATTTTTGATCTCTATTAAAGCTGTAGTGCATAACCTTTCTTAAACGGGAAAAGAGAGAGGAGATTTTTTAAATCAAAACACTTTAACCCATGTCCTGCTGCTATTCCTCTTCTAATAGAGCCGACGACGATTTGC